TAGATTTAGAATTTCAGACTCAGGCACCTGGGCCTCTGCCCAGGGTTCGACTTTGTAAAGTGTCACTAAATACTAAAATAGACTTTTGTTAAAAAGGCTGAGCTTAAAGGACAACTTTAACCTAAGAATGAGACACAGAAGTGTCACCAAAGGCTAAAATAGACTTTGGTAAAAAGGCTAGACTTAAAGGACAATTTTAATCTAAGGATAGACACAATAGAGCTTTTGAACCGAGTGGAAAGGTAGTTAAGCACTCACTAATATTAAACTTAACCTAATCACTGAAGAAATGTGTGCTATTCAGAGTCAAATATGGGAGAAATATCGCCATTAATCAATCCATATCACGGAAACTATAAGAAAGTAACTGTCCGCAGTCATAACAGTTATTGTAACATACAAACCTTATTTGACAGTCTCAAAATGGCATTAGATTAGATTAGATTATGTGAGGTCGTTAAGGCCATGCGGCCTCACCGCACTTCGACCTATACAGATCTTTTGTGCATACCTTAATCTAGTTAAACTCTAGAATGCCAATACTTCTGATGAAGTTGATTAGCTTCCTAGGTGACTTGTTTCCTATGTCAGAGGACGCCAGACTGACCTCTCCTATGAATTTTAGTCTTTTGCAGAACAGTGCTACGCAGTTGCATAGTATATGTTCTGCCGTTTCTTTTTCATTGTGACAGAAACGACAGTTCTCACTATCTGATTTACCCATCTTCTTGAGATGATATCGTATTGTGCGATAATAATGATGCGTATGTGACCATGGGCCTAATTATTGTTTTATATGACCAGAGAGTCATTTTCGGTTGTAGGCCCCAAGTCTTTCCAAACGTCTTGCGGCAGGTCCAACTTGCCACCAAAGCTCTGGATAATTTTTTTTCAATTTTAGTCTTTGTCCACCATCAGGTTTCCTTGCTTATCTTTTACATTCATCGTTCTTCCCTGATACCCTATATTTTAGGTAGGGAGCGTATTTAGGAGGATTGTATTACAAAAAAATACGAATTTAACTCTGTTCTTTTTCTCCTACTTTTCCATGTGTGTGAGTTTTTTTTAACTTTCAGCAATAGCATTGCTGGAATAATTTGAAAACTATTTTAATTGTAGTTTCCTACAGTGTGTGCTTTTATACAAACCAGGAAGTTTGCATAACAATGTGACCTACACTTTTTTAAAAGTTATACAGATTTGGAAAAATTTTTACGAAACATAGGATTTCTAATACAATAACTTAGATCCTCTGATTTGCAGTTAACCAGTGTAAATTTCAATACAACGTCGCGATGCTTAATAATTAATTAATTCGTTCCACTGGAGTCTGAATTCATGCCGCGATGCTGCCAGTGTAAGTGTAAAAACGGAACACGGCTAGAGTGCAATGTTAATTCGCCGAAAACGTACGTATTTATAAATGTCGATATGGAATTAAAAATAGTATTTAACTAAAAAAAAGTTATTTATTATCTCCTCAAAACCGGACTTTCAGGAAAAATCGGTAGACGGAGCAACACTGTCGGCGTGCCACAAATGCTACTACAAACCACAGAGGAGAGGTAATCCAGTGGAATAAATAAATTAGTTATAAAACATCGCGACGTTATATAGAAATTTTACACAGGTTAATTGCATATTAGGGAATCTTAGTAATTGTATTAAAAATCCTATGTTCCTTAAATAAAATTCCAAATGTGTACCTTTTCACGTTACCATACAAACCTGCATTAATTATTTCTTTATTAGATTGTGAAATTATCTTTCAAAAGTAAAACTTTTACACTTAGGTAGTGAAGAGATTGAAGAAGGGACCAAATTTTCCTCTCTGACGATATATTGTCATAACAAATAACAAATAATAATACCTTCTGGATCCTACAAAATAGTCGCCATAAACTTTCTACCCGATCGGTTTGATCTTGAACTTCTTCGGTATGGCTTTGCCGCTTTTTCTCCGCTTCTTTAAATGTTTCGTCGTCTTCGATATTTAGAAATCGATCTACTTTCATTAAAAGCCACTTATCGATGAGAAAAATCCTACGGATTGCATTTATCATTGCAAAAATTTTCTTTGAATCCGACACAAGTGTCTGTTTTTGTCACAAGAGTGTAATTGATTCTAGCACGTAGCGCCATCTATTGAAGACTATATTAATGTCAAATTACGGATTTAGATTACCTAAACTAACATTAAAGGTCTCACTTATCTACTTTACTATGTTGTACAACAACAGCAAAATTCTATCGGGTGGACTAATATGTGTATTTATTTTTTAAATCGCTTTTGCATGCTTCTATTTTTTTAGATTATTACGGTGATCTCAAAATAATTAAAAGTTTATTTAAAAAAAAAGTATAATTAGCAAGTTTGCATGTTTGGCTTTGTTTCTAATCATCCCTTAAAATAAACAATATGTGTCTATTTAAGGGTTGATCTACTTTTATTGCGGGGTCTCCTGAAATATTCAGAATGCTATATAGATTATATTTTCACGAAATTTGAAATCTGATAATTTCTTCAATGTGTTAACCGTCGTGTGTGAAAAAGTGTTGATAATTATTTTAACATATGTACCGTCAATACAGCACAAAAGGGGAATTAAACCACATAGAGCTACGCCTGCATCTAATTAACGCCAGTAATATTAGAAAGACGTCATATACCTTGGACAACTGACGCGTCCTAAGAAGTTTGAACAAATCAATGTAGTATTAGAAGATTAAAATCGTATAGGAACAAAAATGTCATATTTTCCTAACTAAAGACCGCACAACAGAAAACGACTTAATTCGAGGAGGAATGTTTATCATATTGGTTACCAATCTCAATATCAAGGCATTTAGGATTAGAGCCGCCAAAATAAACACTATAATTGATTGAAATCATGGGGAAATAACACATCTAGTTCGAAGAAAAGACGAAACCTAAATCTAAGAAAAGACAGAAGAAAGGATTTACAGTTTATATTGTTTATAGAAACCTGCTACACGACTTAACGTGTTAAAACTATGCAATTTCCAAAGAAATCTAGTTAAAATTTAATTTAAAGCGTCGTGTGAGTACCACCATCCATCATCTCTAATTCTAATCATATAGAGTGCCAAGTTACAGTCTGATGGAAATTCAAAATCGCCGAGTGATGTTATTTTATTTTTCTAAGTAATAAATCGATCCAAAGGAGTATTGAAGTACCATACAGAAATATTTATGTGTAAGAAAGTCAGGTAGTCAAGCGGGCCAGGCGGACGAATTGTATTCATTTACATGAATTTCATTCATTTAAGTGAATGATCTAGTGTAGTAGATCAAACCCTGGCCTGAAAACCCAAAAAGGCCAAAGTAATATATAAAATCCAAATGGATCTGCTACTTAGACTAAAATATGTTGGTGTATCGGATCGACCTATGGATGACCACTTGCGACTCTGTTTTACTCACTTCATAGATCCCTATACTGGCGTTGTATTACTTGTATATAGGGTGGAAAAGTCATCAGGAGACATCTCCCTTATGTGGGCATGTGTGGGTCAGGACTCCCAAAGTACCACAAAGATCCCAGGTTATAAGAGTCTTAGGTCTGCCACCTTCCTAGCGAATTGGTCAGCAATGCGGTTGCCTTTATTCCTATCGTGTCCTGTAACCCACCTCAGGATGATGGTATTACCATCCGAAGCTTGAGTTAGTGACTCGTGACCTCCATTACTAACCCTGATATGATACGTGGTTTATTCAAGGTTAATAGCGCTTGTCTGCTATCTGTGCAGATTTTCATAGTTTTCCCTGCTATACCTTTTTGGGTTATCTCTTTTACGACTAGGAAGATACCAGCCAGTTCTGTCTAGACTACGCTGGTATTTTTTCCCATATCCAAACTTTATTCTTAGGTTCAATGATCTGGAGTATATCCCGTATCCTGAGCCTTCTTCTGAGCCATCGGTGTATATGCAATAGGCATTTGCCATGTTTGTCTCCCTATACTATCTTGTTTCTATTTTGTAAAGACAAACTTTGGTACAATTGAGTCGTATCCTGCCTGTAGCAATGGTAGCCCATCCAGCTCTCCCCGCCATAAACGAGTTCTCAATTGTCTCATTCCTACATCACGGTTTGCACCAGCTGAGCACAGTCGCATCATTGTCACCAGAGCCACCTCTTTGACATATATATCTAGAGGCGTGATGCCAATGATCAACTCCATCGAAGCACTTGGTGTTGTTTTTATTGCACCTGTTAGATTTATGCAAGCCATCCGCTGAATATGGTTTAGTGTATTAATCGCTGTTGCCTGTAGCACTTTTGGTACCCAAGCAATAGTTCCGCAAGTTAGCATTGGCCTAATGACATCAGTGTAGTCCCAAGCGTCACCCTAGGCGAAAGGCCCCAAGTGCGTCCGACTGTTCGTCGACACTGCTCTTTTAGCTCTACAATCTAAGTGTGAGTTCCATGTTAACTACCTGTCACAGGGTAACACCAAGGTACTTCACTTCGTCAGAAAAATTTAGACTGTAGTTTAGAATCCTTGGGGGTATTAAAACCCGTGATTTTTCTTTTCCTGGTAAAGAGGACCATCTCTGTTTTCTTAAAATTTGTATTACTAGGCGTTGTATTACTTTCTCTCTAAAGTAAAATGCTGAGTCGAGCATCACAGAAGTATCACCACGAAATGAGATAGAGGTTCGTGGTGCGCAGTCACAGTAAACAGTTGGAAGAGTCCATTTACGATACGAGGAGAGTCCGATATACATATTAAAATATATAAAAATAATAAATAATAAAATTACTTTATACATTTTTTAAAATATTACAATTTTAAAAATTCAGAAAACAAAGCATGAAGTTTCGTGCTAGTCTACTGTAATGCGTACTGTACCACTTTTTTTTCTCAATATTTTGGCACTTCACGATATTTTATGAGACCCCGTTATATATCACTTGTAATTAAGATATTTACTTATTTATTGAAGTTTTTGTACTCACAATTGACTACTTTCAGTCGAAAACAACATCAGTATCATTCACAGCGCCAAACAAGGTCAGATAACCAACTGCGTCCCGTTTCCAACTACTACGAATACGAAAGTATCCAATCTATCCTCAACGGAGGCCGATCCCGACAAAATGCTCCCCAAACTACCTCCCAACAATCATCCCATTACCAGCAAGATGTTAATTCGAATTCTCTTCCGAGAAATCAACCAGTACAGGGCAGACATACGTCTGGTAGAGGAAGGGGTCCTTTCGTGACGCAAGTAACGATAGGGGAGCATCATCAAAGTGGGACGAAAGTGTAATTTTTATTTTAGACGTATATTGTATTTGGTAACTGTTTTATACGTCTTATTAATATGACGTCATGCCAGCTTTATATTTGAGGTTAGGTTCAGATTTTGATTCTAAACAACCAAATCGCTTTTTCGTTTGATTTGTATTTTTTGGAAACATTATTAAATAATCGAAAATGCCGCACAAAAATCTTTAAGATGCGGCAATAGACCAATTGGTTTGTTTAGAATTTTACGTCAACAAAATATGGTGGCATGATGCCATCACTAATAGAATGGTCTCTTTTGGAATTGATGAACATATTGGTAATATTGCTACTGAAGTTAATTTTTATAAACGATTGATAATCAATCTGATATCAGTTACTAGGTTAATCGACTGATATTCTCATATTAATTGTGTTATTTATTGTTCATCCTTACAAATAAATGATTTAATGGTTCAAAAAGTACTTTAAATAAGATTTTCTTCAAATTTTTGATTTGGGACACTATTTAATGCATTAGAATAACTCATAAATTAAATTTGTGTAACCCTTACCTTCAGGTTTCTTACAGTTTTATCAAATATTTTCCAAATCTTTCAAAATATTTTCCAGAACTTTAGAAACTCCACAAAATTTTATTAGCGGATCCTTTATCATTTTTTTGTTTCGTTCTGTCTCCGTTTCGACGTTATTTCAGCATGTCATTATATACTTTGAGCCTGTTGGCAATATTTAAAATTCTGTCGTTTTTTCACTAATAAAAGCCATAAAAAGCTTGTCTACAAACATTAACTATTAAACCAATCCTTCTTTATTCTGACATGTGCCTTAGCCACGTGGTACACCCATCTCGATTCTGATTGGTTGACGTGGAAATGTCGATGTTTGCACAGAAGTCGGTAGGATATTTTATGTAAGATGTCCTAACATCTTGACTTTTATATTAAAATTAGACAGCAACTGTTAGCCATTTATATTACGGGTAGAATGACTTATACATCTCAAAATCGTAAAACATGTGTGATTTGTCGGATTTTGCATTTAGACGCGTGTTTTGGAAAGTATGTTTTTTTTACTCCAAACATTTCTGTGGCGAATTAAACAAACAATGAACTATTGCAAGATAATTAATAATAATTAAATTAATATCAAGTTTATTTCCTTCGATAGACTGGAGAGATAAATGAACTTTAACTCATAGGTGCAAATAATCATAAAATTTTAAATGGTTGCAATAAACAATCAAAACCAATTTATAGGTTCAGGTAAAACTAGGTAAGACTTATCGGTAATTGAAGTTGATTACCATGGTTTACACTATTTTATGAATCAACGAACAAAACGAATTTAATATGTCTGCATTGGTTCATTGTCGAGTTGCGTCTGTCCCGCTTATCGACGATCACGCTCTTGTGGTTCGCGAGATGCATTCTCCAATCGGTACTATAGGAATCGAAGGGATACAGGGAAGACAAGTGTATCGATTAATTTACACGACTATATTTGAATTTAAACAATTTCAATGAATCAAATTCTTTGTATTTTCTCTCTTAATTAATACAAAATTATAAAACTTCAAAATTCTTTTGAAATTTATTTATTCTGTCATTCTGAAATTTGAAGGAAATCTTAATAACACACATTACCTTACAAAAATTTTGTGTTACAGCAATCATTCACGTTAGTATTTGATTTTTATACTAAAATTTAAATTGTATTGAAATAATTTTATTTACATTTAAAATATTTCAGCCCTTTTGCTGAACTTAGGACGTTATTGTAAAAAGTAATTGTGATAATATTGAACGTAATTGTAGTTATATTAAAATCGATTTTATTCCATACAAAACTTATAAATTATTTACAAAATGTAAAGGAAACATTGTTAGAAATTTATACAAAAATCGGTTAAAACAGATGTTGATATGTCTTTTGAAGTTTTTTTTATTTCTGAATTTTAATTTCTTAATGTCCTTTAGTGGTAGTTTTTTGGGCGTGTGATTATAGGGCGGTTCGATAAGTACTTGCCTTCAAATGAAAAACGAAAATGTTCGAAAAGTGTTAAATTTATTTCTTAACAGTCTCGTTTTAGCTCAATACACATAACCCAGCGTTGCTCCAACTTTGGCGAGTGGCTTTGTTAAGGTTGCAAACAAAAAGAATTCTCACGGGGCGAAAACTGGAAAATACGGTGGATGGGCCAGTAATTCATAGTCCAATTCGACTGATTTGGTCTTGTGACTGCGGAGGTGTGAGCCGATGCGTTGTCATGGTAGAAGAGCACTTTTTTTTCGCCAAAAAGTAATTCGCCTTGTTCGGAGCATGTTCGCCGGATGAAGTGCTGTGTTTCGAGTGTTTCTTAGTCTCTGGTGTGTACCAGTGGATACCTATTTCGTGGACGGTCACGAAATGACGCAGAAGTTTCTTGGAATTTCATTTAAACCGCGTCAAAACTCATCTAAAGTGGTCTTACGGTTGCGTTTATTGTCCGGTGTTAGAAAACGCGGCAGTCATCGCGCCTACAGCTTTCTTATGCCCAAATTTTCGTGCGGATATAACCCACGGTGTCTTTTGATATGTCTACGATCTAGCAGATCGTGAAATTTTGACATTAGCCATCGAGTAGAATGTACTACACGATAGTACATTTCTCTTGCTATAGTGGCGCCATCGGACGATGAAGCGAAGTACTTATCGCCGTCGTCATAACAGTTTATATATTATATTCAGCTCGATAGCTCAAAAATTAGCTCAACTATATACGCCTTTAAAGATTAACGTAAATTGTATCTAGTGGCTTTAACAATTTTATCCCCACTGTACTATTAAAGTACAAAAAGACTATTAAATTGGAAATAAAAAAAATTGGCATATAAACCTCTGCAATTACAATATCGATAGCTAAGAAATTGCAGGCAATTCTACTTATCATATTTTATTATAGTAATGATTCTTACGTATGTCAAAACTGTTTTTACATTTATTATAAATAAATCATTAAACCGTCATTAGTAAAAATTTTCAACCATCTGACGATGCTTTAATATTTTTGTTTATTAAACTATTAATTTATATTTTCTTTATATAAATACTTCCTAGAATTCCGCAAACAAAGTGATTCACATAAATATAAAATAATAACTTTACCTACTACAGTATTTCTTTAAGTAAATTTTTTAAACTTTTTTTTTTGTTCTAAAATCGTTTCAATATTTTTTGTATATTACTCGAATTATGTGAATCACTAATGTCGTAATTGTCATTCCATATTAAACATTCGAAATATGTATGTATTTTAACATATGTGCTCATAATTTTAAATGTATTGAATGAGGCTTTTGCCAGTTCTTATATTAAATTGATTTTATTATGTACATAGACAGTATATTTTATATTGTAAATAAATATATATTTTATAAAGACAGTTTTTTTAATATCGAAAAAGAAAAGCAAATCCACTTTATTTACTTGTCCAGTTCAAATAATTAAATCTTTAAAAATGTGTATCCCTTTTTGGATGTTACTAGAAAGGTTACCAGTGGATTTACTACGAACAACAGCTAGATGGTTGGTGGAGAGTGAGTCGTTTGTTCGAAACTAGCTTTTGGAATTGGTACTTGGTTCTACAGAACAAATTACCAGAGATAAGATAAAATGTAATAGATTGATAGATAAATATATAGATAGGCATGATAAAATTACCATAGATAAGAAGAGAAAGATAGAAAAGGGAATCACAAAAGAAGAAAGATAATCTAGAAGATAAATAAGAAACCGTAAACTATGTTCTGAAAACCGAACATGTAAGAATATGGAACTTGCTATTATTGAAATTGAGAATATGGTTTTGGCAGATCTTGCAGTAAAAATGCCTCCTTTCAACATATTTTTCTTTTAGAGGCAATTTCTACAAACAAATATCTGGAACACCAATGGGTTCTCCCCTTTCCCCTGTCATTGCTGACATTTTCCATGGAAGCCTTGAGTCTTTAGCCCTAGAATCTTACCCCTTAAAACCGAAAGTCTGGTTCCGCTACGTTGATGATACATTTATCATCTGGTCCCATGGTCAACATACCCTTTCTCCCTTCCTAGATCATCTTAACTCACAACATCCGAGTATAAAATTCACAATGGAAGTAGAAAATAATCAGTCCCTTCCCTTTCTCGATATGTTTGTCACCTCCAAGCCCAATGGCCGTTTGGGTCACTCTGTTTATAGAAAAAAGACTCACACGAATCGTTACCTACATGCTTCATCACACCACCATCCTGCCCAAAAGAATTCTGTGATCAACTCTCTCTATCCATCGGGCCATTTCGATTTCTGAACCTGACAACCTTAGAGAAGAACTTGGCAATCTGCAAAAAACCCTTGTCGCCAACGGTTACTCCAAGTCCACAATTCAAAATATTACACACCGACATCTACATCCCCCTCTACACCCTAGGACGACAAATTCAGAATCTTCGGGTAATACTCCTGTGGCTTTTCTTCCGTATATTCGAAGTGTCACTGATAGGATTGGCAAAATTCTTCGCAAAGAAGGTATCAGGACTACTTTTCGACCACCCAAGAAAATCTCACAATATCTACCCTCTCCTAAGGACCCATTACCGCCCCTATCTTCCTGTGGTGTCTATTCTATTCCTTGTTCATGTGGACATGTGTATATTGGCGAAACTGGTCGTTCCGTCAAAACTCGGATTCAAGAGCATCAAAGATGCATTCGATCAGGTCTTTTCTCCCATTCTGCAGTTGCAGAACACTGCCAAGAAACCGGTCATTCCATATTGTTCAAAAAAACCCATATTATTTCTAAGAGCCCCTTCTTTTATTCCAGGAAAATCCGCGAATCTCTAGAGATCCGAAAAAATCCACATAATATCAATCGAGAGGAAGGATACTACTTGTCTCCCATCTGGAATCTCAGTCTAGAGCCGCCGTCCGGTCCCGCTACCACGATGCAGCCACATGATTGGCCAGCGCGCGCTTCTTGACGTTCGCGCCACGGAGTGTGCCGATACGTCCCGACACGACAGGTCACCGCGACTATAAATAGAGCGGTAGCGGAGTAATCGTCGGATTCACTCCCCGCCTCTCGACGCGTTAGTGTTCTGAGCTGTTGGACGTGAATCCCTGTCCTGGCATTTGGTTTTCACCTCTGGCTGCGTTGAGTAGTTGAATTACTGTGACCAAATGCCCATCTTGGTAGTTAGTATTCGCCTCTGGTTGCGTTGAGTAACTGGGTTACCGTTGCTAACTACCCATCTTCTTCTTTTTTTCTTTTTCTTTGTTCTCCTGAAGAAGCTACATACAATTGTAGCGAAACGTCGAGATGAACCCACTTTTGGGTCACTCACAAATGACACGGTCCAAATCCGGAAGACGAATAAACTATAATTCTTGCTATTATTGTTTAAATGTTGAAATAGTCTACACACGTACTGATACTGCCCGATCTTTCTTTCTGGCCTAACTGTAGCTACCAAATGGTTTTAACTTGTTGGTAGTAGAATAAAGAAAATACGTTATTAAAAAACAAAAACAATTTATTCCAACAGATCGTTGAAATATACATAAAAACAAAAAACGGGATGTGGTACTCCGGGAGTGACCGAGAAGTGGAAGAAAGCAGAGCTTTTTTATCGTCTACGTACGGGCGATTTTGTGTGATTCGATACCATTGATTCGATTTCAATCGATTCGACTCCAATCGATTTAATTCTATTCCAATCGAGTATATATTATTTTGTTGTTATTTTATTAATAAACACGCATGGGACTGTAATCTTCTTTGATTACTCTGGTACTTAATATTACCTCAAAATGTGGACAAAGATATGATCTAAAATTGTAAAAGATCGCAGCAACAAGTTTTTCAAAAATAAAATAATTATTGTATAATACCATCGTTGTCGTCTGTCTGCTTATTGAAAACTCACTGACTATTAAATTTGTAACGAATTACTAAGAAACTGATAACTAATTCAACCGTATTAGTATCGCCAGTTTGCTAGATATCTAGGGCACTATTCCGAAACTTACAAATTTTAAGAATTCAAAATGGAGCTAGCATAAAAAAATTTCGGTGACCAACCAAAACCCCCCTCCACGGGAAAATTCTAAGTTCGCCACTGCTTTGAAATACCATGAGATCTGCTAATGGTAAAATTACATTTACGAGTACTCGGATCCGAGTAGCTCGGATTTGAGTTACGAGTGAAACTGCGATCGTTTACGTTAAATCCGAGCGATCAGAGTAGTTTCAAAGAGAATTTAAAATGGCGCCATCAAGAAAGTCACGAGCTGTTGTTGCATTAGTGTTATTAAACATTTTAAAGGAGAAAAATAACGACAAACAAATTAAGACAAAGAAAAGCATTTGGGTGAAACAACATTTACAAGAGGTTTGTTAAAGTTAATGATTACCTAATTTAATTTAATTTAAAGCATTATTTTCTTTGATAATGTCCCGACACTCCTTTAGTTTCACATTCCATAAACATTCAAAAGAACGATAAAGATCGATAAATTGATCCATTTGATCTGCAGAAAATCTTAGTTCCGCCATTTTTAATTTGGAATTTCCACCACTTTGACGCTCACTCGTACAAGAACTCGTACTGCTACTCGGTTTGCGTTTAACTTCAATCCGAGTAGACGTTTATACTTCCGAGTTGCACACCGAGTAGAGTAACTCGGATCCGAGTACTCGTAAATGTAAAGCGGACTAAACTCTTTAATTCCTAAAATTAGTAGATAGTGGAAACATTTGGAAAGTTTAAGTCTCTAAAGAGTTACAAGTTTCAATAGATCAATAGAAGCGTATTATGCTCTATTAGTATCTTGGTAAATTATATTTATAAAAATAATAAGAAATAATTCAAGTTAAAAAAATGTTACAAATCTTATCCATCCAGCAGAGTGTTTAGCGCAAGGTTTCTCCAACACAGGACAACTAACTAGATGCGTTGAATCTTAAACCGGCTCACATTTACGCAAGGTATAGGAGTCAGCAGGAAGTAGTTCCCATTTCTTTATGTTGGTTTTACACTTAGACATTCCGACTCACAGACGATTGAGTGGCCTAAACACAGGTTAAGGAAGATGTCTACCAGACAAAAGTTCCTCTACAGGATCTAAATGGCAAGGAACAGGTTCTTTCCATCTGGCACGAAGAAATCTTTTTCTCGATTTGAGACTCCTTTCGCCTCTACGATAGGGTAGAGCTTATGTATGACTGTGTGAGCCTCAAACATTCACTGATAATTCTTACTGACTAATTGGTTCCGAAATTTTATTTTAATGCTTAACTTGGAGAAGCATCGCTGACAAGTACAGCTAGAATCGTGGTGAATTGTATTGTTTAAAATTATTAAACGTTGTTACTCTGTTATGAACTTATAGCCAATTTAACCATTCAAAAGATGTTAAAGGAAGGACACTTTCACTTTTAAAAGTCTGAGGAGTTTAATTTAAATTGATCTGGACACATTTGAAATTATTTTGATTTAACGTAAATTTTCCTAATCCTACCCTCAATAACTTACCTTCAGCATAATGTTGTTTATTTATTGTCTAAACCTATCGTTTAAAAATTTAATCATCTGATCTTATCAAGGATAAAAACGAAGACGTTTGTTTCTTCGTTTTTATCTTTAAAAACAAACGTGTATCAGAATTATTGTCAAAGATTTGAGAAACTTTGTTTTATTTATATTGAATTTTAATTTATTTTTATAAACATTGAACTTTATCTGCCAACTGCCACAGAACGATTTCCTGCGACTGAAGCGTTTTATTCACCACTAAGATGAGCTATAGAATATTATGCATTATTTCTAATTAAAAAAATCAAAATATCTGGAATAAAATTCCTTTTCCTTTCTCCCTTGCTTTTGGATCAGATACATTTTTAATACATTATTCGATGGATTCTATTATACCTTCAAGCTCTTCACGTGTGAGGTATTGTGCATCCAGGAAACCCACAGAGACCTAACTGCAGCAAGACCGAAAGTCTCTGGTATGAAACTGATTGCGGAGATACTACACAATAAGCATGGGAGCGCGGTATTTGTGAGAACTCAAACCATAGTCTCATCTGTGGAAACAACAAATGTACATGGTATAGAGGTAATAACCACTGAGATCGGAAAATGCACAATAACCTCGGTATACAAGCCCCAAACCAGTCTTTTATATTTTTACTCCCAACTAATTTTCAATCACAAGCCAATCAGCTTGTACTGGGAGACTTTAACAGTCACAGTTTACTCTGGGGCTATGCAGATTCGGACGCAAATGGAGACGCAGTAGAAGCATGGGCCGAAACGAGTGGCCTCACGTTAATCCATGATCCTAAACTTCCACCATCTTTTCATAGCAAAGTTTGGAAAAGAGGATATAACCCGGATATCTGTTTTTCAAGCAACAACCTCGAAGACCGATATACCAAACTAGAATATGGCCCCATACCAAAAACTCAGCATAGACCAATTGGTATAAATATCTTCCCAATTGTCAGACCACAAGCTATTCCATTCAGAAGGAGATTTAACTTCAAAAAGGCAAACTGGCAAAAGTATGCAGACATGCTAGATTTTGAACTACTACGCCTTGAACCAAAAGTAGAGAACTACGAAAAATTCGTAGAGGTACTCAAAAATGTGTCTAGAAAAACTATCCCTAGAGGATGTAGACAACAATATGTTCCCGGGATGTCCAGCGAGTCCAAAGAACTAATGAGAACATACGAAAACCTCTATTCCACTGACCCTTTTAGCCAAGAAACCGTTGACTGCGGAGCAGTACTACTCCAACAGCTAAGTCAAGCCAGACAGGAAAAGTGGATTGAGACCCTGGAAAAAATGGACATGACACATAGTAGCAAAAAAACATAAACCACCTTGCAAGGTTACAGCAAACCAAGTCGCTACTCAAATCCTAAAGACAGTTTTACATTATGCTATTTTCATGCTAGGCAAGAGCCATGCAAGACAGATCATGGAACTGCGCATGCCCACGGGCTATTTCCATGCAATTCCTGTGCTAGACGAAAAATTAGAACATGTTCTATTTTTCATGCTATTTTCTTGCAATTTATCGTTAAAATTCATGTTGCCAACATAACAATTTATAATAGATTACAGAATAAAACATAACCTTTTCTCTATCCAGGAGCTTAAGGAAAGTGGACTCGTTCATTCGAAGAAAGTTTTTAAAATTTGAAGGTCTCTAGCATCCAAGAACTCTTGGGGTAACTTTAAATTTCCCAGTCCCAGCATTTTCTAGGTTTTCGTTTTTTTATTATTTTTCATGATTGTTGCTACAACAGCAATATTCAACAATAACAATGTGTTCTTTTCTTTGGTTGACATCCTTCACCCTTTTAATAACCATAAATAGTGTATATTTATTATATTATTTATTTTAGTACTTAATTATATTTATTTAAAATAAAATAACCTCAAATTAATAAATATTTTCTCTGTTGGCAACAATGAAAGTGGGATCTAAAATTGCACAGAAATATCTCTGATGTAAAAAGGTCAAGCTAGGCAAGAGATGTGCCATGCAAGACGGACTTGCATAGCATGAGACTTGCATAGCCTAGATGTAAAGCTGCCTTTACGAATGGTAGAACTACTAACCGATATAAGGACCCAAACACTAGGAGATTGAATTCGGAGACAAACAACCTAGGAACTCCTTTTACACTAAAAGAACTTCACGACGGTCTGAACATGTTAAAAAACGGGAAAGCTGCAGGTGTGGATGATATATGCAGTGAACAAATAAAGCATTTAGGCCAAGGAGCAAAAAACTGGATCTTGCAATTTTATAACACGTGCTGTAAAACCTGCAAAATTCCAAAATCATGGAGGAAATCTAAAGTAATAGCCTTGTTAAAACCAGGAAAGGATCCAGAAGACCCCAGTAGCTACAGACCTATTTCGCTATTGTGTCACTTTTTTAAACTATACAGAGACTCATACTCGTCAGAATAGAAAAAAATGTCGACAAGCACCTCATCCCACAACAAGGAGGATTCAGACCTGGCAAATCTTGCACCGGTCAAGTCCTCGCATTAACAGAACACATTGAAGAGGGCTTTGAAGAAAAACAGGGGCTGCTTTTGTAGATCTGACAGCAGCCTATGACACAGTAAGGCACAAAACATTGCTCCGCAAATTATACGACACTCTCAATGACCACCATCTGGGAAAGGTCATATATTCCTTACTGCAAAATAGATGTTTTTTCGTTATGCTGGAGGGTAAAGTAAGTAGGTGGAGAGTTCAAAAAAAACGGCCTCCCACAGGGAAGTGTTTTAGCACCAATGCTCTTCAATATATACACAAACGACCAACCTACTCCGACCGAAACCAAGCACTTCCTCTATGCTGACGATCTTGCAATATGTGCTCAAGGAAATAGTTTTGAAGAAGTGGAGGAGAAACTCGAAACTGCCTTAAAAACAATGACAGCGTACTACCTGCAGAATTCTCTGAGACCCAATCCCTCTAAAACCCAAGTCTAGCGCTTTCCACCTTCGCACAAAGGAAGCCAAGCAAAAACTCCAAATTGTGTGGAATGGTAATGCATTAGAACACACAAACCAACCTATATATCTTGGAGTAACTCTGGACCGGTCCCTCACCTACAGACAACATTGCATAAAAACAAGAGGGAAAGTAACAACTAGGAACAGCATACTCAGAAAGCTAACGGGAAGTAAATGGGGCGCACGTCCTGGCGTTTTAAGAACAACGACACAGGCACTGTGTTTCTCAACTGCTGAATATGCGTGCCCCGTTTGGAGCAGATCTGCCCACACCAAACAAGTTGATACTGCGCTAAATGAGACGTGCAAGATAGTAACGGGGTGCATGAAACCAACGCCACTTTCAAATCTATATAGAGCAGCGGGTTTTGCAGAACCCTCAACACGCAGAGGCGCTGCAGAACACATAGAGAAAATTAAACAGATCGCGGACGATCATCATGCCCTATACAAAGCTCGAACACCACGAAAGCGACTAAAATCTAGGAAAAGCTTCCTTGTAACAGTGCAGGATGAACCGCCTGAGTATTTTCCACTTCCCCAGGTTCAATGGACCGGCCAGACCCTAGACTTTAAAACGTGGAAAACCTTGAATAGGATAAGAACGGGGTTGCTACAGTAAAATCAAACATGGCAAAATGGGGAAAAATAGACCAAGATGATGTGAACTGTGACTGTGGAGAAACACAGAATATGGAACATCTTCTTACATGCAGAAACTGTCCTCATCGATGTACCCTTGAAGATTTGTGGCTCGCCAACAAAAATGGAACCGACGTAGCCCGATATTTTATGAATGACATGTCCGGACACGATAAAGTAAAGTAAGAGACTGTATATAAACGACAAGCCCAACATGCTTCTGATAATGCGAACAAGCGAACACTTTCAATGTCCTTCCATGAAAATCCAAATTCAAAGGATATGTGGTTTTAATTTACTGATCACCGTTTTGGATCTCTTAAATATGCAGCTCTAGGGTATGTGTTTGCAAACACTGCTCTTGGATTCCAGAAATAGGTAGCCATATGTGTAGGTTTACAATTAACTGATTTTGGATATCCAAAATTTGCAGCCATCGAGTATGTGTTTTTACTGATTGCTGTTTTTGGATAATATAATGGTAATCTAATACCTCAATTCAGAGCCTCTTCTAGATGGCTTCTGCAATAAACTGATTATAGAAGATAAAATTTCCAAAGATATTGATATTACTTATAAAAAGCTGTTAATACTTCTACAAATGGTCTAGAAATACTCTTAGAGAAATGGGAAAGAATAATAAGTTGGCTAGTATCTTCATTTATTTATTTATTAACGAGTTTGCCCATTTGCCCCAAAAAGTTTGCCTATTCATATAACTCGACTTATAGTAGCTCCACTCTGCTGCAAACCAAGTATATTAAAAATCTCACTTTATTGCTATCATAATCAATATGGTCGTTGAGATTGGTTGAGTTGCATTCAGGAATATTGTAAATCATAAGATTATTAGATCTTTCTACACATTGCTGGACTTCATAGTAAACAGCACTGGATATATTTTTAGTGTTATTGTCTTCAAGAGACACAATCTTATCCTTTAGTATGCTTATTTCTTCTTTCAACTAAACAATTTTCCAAATTCTGAACAATATTCCAATTTGGTATGTCAATAGCAGGATTAGAAGATTAAAACCATGAAATGAGAAAATATTTATTATTCTAAAATATTTTTGAAAAGAATGCCCCCATTCACAACAAATTTCAAGGCGGATGGAGTTGTTAACACAATTTTCTCTTAATATATGGCTTATGTATTTCTCCAATGTAACAAAAGTTATACTGAAATAATGGTATCTCATAAGGTAAAATGTTCCGGAAGAGAACAGCCTCCTTTGGATTTCTAGGTGATGACCATTTCAGAGGAAACACCATTACAGGTTAGAACAATTAGGACATGGTCTTAAAAGTCTTACAGGTAATAGTATGGAGTTTAGATGTGCTTTAAAGAGGGTAAATACAAATTATTCTTCTTTTAAAATTGTTAAAGAGAAGCGAACAGCCTCCTTTGGATTTCTAGGTGATGACCATTTCAGAGGAAACACCATTACAGGTTAGAACAATTAGGACATGGTCTTAAAAGTCTTACAGGTATTAGTATGGAGTTTAGATGTACTTTAAAGAGGGTAAATACAAATTATTCTTCTTTAAAATTGTTTTAACTTTAAAACTCCAGACTTTTTAAATGCCATAATATCAAAAATTGCAAATTAACTTATCAACACTACTAAGAACTCAAATTTTGTTAAAATTAACAAAAACTGATAATTAGGATAAAAAGAAAATAAAAACTGTATCTCTCTCGTAAATAAAAATACATTTCATATCAGATCGTGTCAAAGCCTACATATAAAAATAGATCTATATTATTAAAATATAACTTATTACCTAAAATAAAATAAATAATCTTCAAACAAGTTTAAGTTTGAAGGGCTTCTTTAAACAGACATACTAAATTCTTTGCATCTGGTCTTTTGCTACTGTCAACAGTAGTACAACAAAAATAAATCTCCAACACTAAATTATATTCTGGTCCCAGATCAACATCAGGAAGAGGAGGTCTTTGTCTAACAGTTGTTAGTTCTTTTTTTATGGATATAGGGAGCAGGTCATCTGAATAATCATGATCTTCAGTACTTTCAATTAAGTCATCATCTATTGGAGGTGTTAAAGACAACATTTCCCAAATTACTAGTCCAAAAGAATACATGTCTGCTTTTGTGGTAATAGTGCTATTACATAGAAGTACTTCTGGTGCAGACCAGTGAGGTGTACCTGTAAATTTAAAAATTAGTATGGTGCATTTTATGAAAAGTTAAATAGTATATAAAACATAAATTAACAAAACAAACAAAAATATTTTATCTTACAAATCATTTTACTTTTGGGTGACATATCTTTTTGAGATAATTGTATATATACTTGGTACACTTTGACAAAATTATAGAAAATCAATGTTCATATACCTATATATTCTGCGTCTTCTCCTGCTTTATCTTTATCCATTTCCCCTGACTTAGTTAATGGTAAGCAAACTCCAAAATCACATATCTTACAAACCTCAAACTCTCCCTTAACAAGTATATTGTAAGATTTAATATCACAATGCAGCAATAGGGCAGTATTATGCAGATAGTCTAAAGCTTTTGCTACATCATAGGAAACTTTTAAGATAGTATCACTGGGATAAGGTACATCTCCCAGATAGTCCAAACGATTTTCAATTAGATCACCTAGAGAACTGGTACATTCTTCCATGGCTAAAATGTTAGTTCCATCTGAATCCTTGGTAAAAGCTCTAAAGCCCACTACATTTGGGTGATCCAATTTACGAAGTATATCTGCCTCATTTTTGAGGCGGTCGTTAATAAAAGTCGATGTATCTCTATTTTTGTGGGACCGAATTAACTTTTTTATGGCCCATGGTGACCGAAATTTTCCGGGAATGGGAGATCTTTGGAGTTCATATACAACAACACCTAAAATGTGATTTATTAATATCTAATGTAATTAGCTAGTAAATATTATAAAATACAGTTAAAACAATATATTTACTTGTTCCAAATCCAATTTTTTTCATAAGTGGACTCGGGGGTATTTGAATCTTCACATTATCAGGGAGTTTATTTTTTAAAGGAGTTTTGAAACTATCCATAGTTTAAAACATTTATGTTTAAAACTTTATAAGTATATAAATGTATACAAGTTTCTATGGTATATACTGTGCTTGTAAACTTAATAAACTCATAGGTATTCATAAAAAACTCATAAGAACTAATAAACAGAAAAGAACACCTGTAAAAATGACTATGTGCAGAATGAAAATGAGGCAAAATAAAGCCGCGCCCGTTATTTTTAAATTCGTGTCATGTCATTTGTCACTAACCTGTTTGAAACACAGAACATTCGATTTCCAGCACGATAAGTAACGTGGATTTCCGGTTGAGTTTACCGACAGTACAAGCTGAATATAGCCGCAAATGTCAAAAATATTTGGGTTTGGCAGTGTTGGATGTTTTTGCAAAGCAAAAAAAAGCGAAAAAAGAGAGAAAGCTTTGAAAAAGTACATTTTGATTATACTAATTTATGAACTCGGCAAATTTTTAATTTATATAAGGCAATAACGAGTAAATATTTGTCTCTTTCGAGATTAATTGCAAAAATCTGTTGCATTCTGGCAACTGCTTATTTGACGATTGCCAAATATATTTCCTTATAATATCAAAGGGTAATTGCCAAAAAAAATTCTAATAATTTACTGCAATTAATCTCCAAAGAAACAAATTCTCTCTCATTCTTGTTTTATAAAATTCAAAAATTGCAGAATATAAACAAAATGTACTTTTCTAAAGCTTTATCTTTTTATATTTGAAGCATACAGCATCTACATTCTGTTTCTGTATATACTAATATTATTTATCTATGATTTACATTATAAAAACATGCCAACACTGCTGTAGTACCAAAATTTGTTGTTCCATGTTTGACATTTGCGGCTATAATCAGCTTGTACTTTCGGTACAAGCCAGAGATATGTTACATATCTCTGGTACAAGCCGAAAAATGTCCGATTTATCTAACTTTTCAAGCAAAATGTTGGATTTTAGGTGGGATTTTAGTAGTCTTATCGATAGTAACGTAATTTGTAGCAAACGTATCTGCAAAACAATAAAGACGAGGCCATTATACCTTCTCTTCTTCTTGTTTAAATTCTTGAGACCTCTAACTTTTCGGCACACAGTCAGGTGTCATTTATTACCCTTTGTTTTTCTTTTTTGTACTATGTGATTATGGTTCATGGTAATTTACTATGTGATTAAGGTTGATCTGCACCCTCGATTAATTTGTTTCTGATCCTTCTACATGACGACTCTGTAATATTTTCAAATCCTAACATAAATTGCAGTTTTCTGTCATTATATCAATTGGCTGAGTTGCCAAGTTGTGTAGACAGTAATTTTATATGGTTACCAGTAGACCAACTAAGCAAAGATATCTTATAACAACATTTTTATGTATAATACTTTACTGTTCTGCTATGTCAGTCGGAATAAATACACCAAATTCATTCATTATCTAAACAATTTTACCGTCAAAGAAATTATGTATGTTGCGGCTTTCTTTATCAATATCATATTACCATTAAATTCGTACATCATATTATATTACATTTTTGTTGATAGTTAAAAATTAAATGATCTGGTATTATGATTATGTAATATTTTAGTGGGAAATAACAAAAATATTATTTAAATCTATTACTATCTCAGTCTTTATGAATTAATAAATTTTACTATGTCTTCTTCTTCGGTTATATTTATATTTCTTATTTCATGCTTCATTGTTCTGGCTTTATTGGTCTGTTTATTCTTATAATTTTTCTTTTAATAATTCTTACTTTTTCATCATCTTTTTTCGTAAGACACATTACTTCCGCCCCTTATGCTATCATCGGTCTAATCGCTGTGTCTATGTATTTTTGTGTTTGTTTTTTTTTGCTGTTTTTTTTTTATTTTTTTTAAGTAGTGGGTGATATTTCCAAAACACCCCGTTCTTCTCCCGCCTTGTGTGCGTGTTAGTCATACGTTGGATGTATTATTTGGAGTGGTTGATGCGTATTTAGTTATTACGGTTCTATTTGGTCTATTTAGTTCTTCAGTTTCCGTATTCGACAATTTTATAAACGCCAAATGAGGACTATGTGAAAGGTGTCATTGCGTATGTGTTTATTGATTTTACTAAGTGCTTGGAATTAAGTTTGCTTTTGAGTATTATCCAGATTTAGCCATACGGCTCACACTCCCTCTATGGAAAATATCGAGGAAAATTCACTCATTCCAGATACCTACGGTATCAAAAGGATTGAGCTTTGGTGGGACTCTTTCTGTGTTATTGAGCCCTAGGTGACTTGGTGTACTGGAGTACCTCCCAAAAACTTTCGTACATATCTGGACGTCGCGAGGAGTACAGCTTTATGTATGGCCTTATAAAGATGTTCATTTAGACCTAGTTGTTTTATGTTCGCTAGGAGGTTTTTGGGAATAACACCAGTAGTAGATAGAACAATAGATAGTGTCTGGGTACTTTCCAATTTCCATTGTCTCCTGATTTGTATTTCTAGATCTCTGTACTTGGCGATCTTTTCGTTGTATTTAACAACTAAATTATTGGTGTTGGGTATCGCCACATCAATAAGTGTTGTTTGTCTAGTAAGTTTATTAACTAGTATGAGATCCGGTCTATTATGGCCCACTGGTTGGTCTGTAAGCACAGTGCGGTCCCAGTATAGCTTGTAGTTGTCATTTTCAAGCATTCTATCAGGAGCGTATTGATAATAAGGAAGACGGTCGGTATGGAGAAGTCCCAATTTGTCAGCTAGTTCTTGGTGGATAATCTTTCCTACTGAGTCATGGCGTTCTTTATAATCAGTACCGACAAATGCCTGGCAGCCACCGGTAAGATGTTGGATGGTTTCTTGGGCTTGGCATCCATATCGGCATTTGTCATTTTGGACTTGAGGATCTTTAACAATATATTTAGCATTTGATCTAAGTAATTTCGAGTGGAAGCCATGAGTTTCAAATCATCCATATACAACAGATGATTAAGCTTCGCCACTACAGTGATGTTGTTTTTAATGCTGAAACCTGAGTGAGTGGAGTTCAATAGCTGGGATAGTGGGTTCATCGCTAGACAGAACCACAAGGGACTCAGCGAGTCTCCTTGGAATAGGCCGCGGTTAATTGCGATATTTTCCGTTTCGATATTTTTTTTCACCAGGTACTTGGAGGTGAATTTTAGTCTTCCAATCTGTCATTATATGTCTTAAGAAGGTTACTATATTATCATCGACTTTATATATTCTTAATATCCGCAAGTTATATAATTCCTATCCATGAACTGTCAATTTCAGTACTCACACACTCTTATTGGCTAAAATATAAAACTCCGCTAATTTGTGAAAGTTATACCACTTTTTCCCAATTCAGGTCGGTACTGTACACATCAAAAATCCAACCAATATTTTCAGAACATCCGCATGTCCTTTTCTCTAAAAAAATTAAGACGTTTTAGATTGATAAAAACGACCACTTCCTTGAAACGGTTAATCAACGATGGCCTGACTATTATCAGATTTACACCGATGGATCAAAACAAATTCGTACAGGTGCCACTTTTTACGATCACACCTCAAAATATCATGAAGAGTTCAGATTACCAGATGAGGCAACGATATATACAGCAGAAATGTTTGCAAGTGAAGCTCTAAAATATATACTTAGGACGTATAGACTCAAAAGTATTATATTTACAGATTGCAAAAGTGTCACAGAGAGACTAAAAAATATAAGTGCGGCCAAGAACTTAAGTCATCTAGAAGTAGAAATACTACAGACCAATCACGAAATACTTAGCTCGCAACGGGAGGTGCTAATAGTTTGGATCAAAGGTCATTCGGGTATTCAAGGAAACGAAATTGCTGATAAGTTTGCAAAATCCGCCTCAGACTTACACAGAGACTCTATTAACCAGTGTATTCCATATACAGATTAGAATTCCACACTTAAAGTTCAACTTAAGGCTAAATGGCAAGAACTATATGACAGCAAACAAATAGGATTAAATTATAAATCATGTCAAGTCCAAATCCCAATAATAAGATGGTTCTACAACGAAAACAACAGGAGCTTTATTATTACTTTAAACAGAATAAGAGCAAATCATTTTATAATTTTTTTTAATGATCGCAAAATTAACTGTCTCTATTATTTATTCAATTTATTTAATTCATAAATGAAAACCACACTCCTGCTCTAATGAAAATTGACAGACCTTTCTTTCTCTGCCGTTGCAATTCTATGGCCACGCCAGATAAAAAAAAACCTTTCTCTGCTTCTGCTCTTATTGTGGTCCAGATGACGTACACCTTTCTCCTATCTGTCCTTGTATCTGCAACCCAACAACTCGTGTTATTCTATGCAGCCTCCTTTTGAGCCAATCTCCGCGCCTGTTTATAACTCCAAATGTTTCCGGCTTCGTCTGATATTAATATTCTTATACCCTTTGGTTTTTCTATCTCTCTGTACCCCGTTCCTCACACTGATCAGCTTTTACACAGCAAATAAACACACCCGGTAAATTACCGGGTGTATATATTAATATATTAATATATATATATATATATATATATATATATATATATATATATATATATATATATATATATATATATATTATAACTAAATTATACATAAAAAATAAAAAAAAATAATAAAAAAAACACAAATTACACTGCTCACACTTAACTTTAAGCACTACTAATACTTTAAGAATTGTTATTGTGAACAAGGATGAGTATTCTTTTTTAAATTATTATAGTTAAAAAAAATCGTCTGGCTAATTGGTCTTTGCCAAAGCCATCTAATTAAGTAAAAAAAAAATATTCTTAATATATCTACCAGCCATTCATGCGGCACTGAGTCAAAGTCTTTCTCATAGTCAATAAAGGCAGTGAAGATATTCCTTTTTTTTTGTGTATGCCTGGTTAGAAATGACTGAGTCGATAATAAGTTGTTCTTTGCAACCCATGGAGCCCTTAGCGCATCCTTTCTGTTGAGATTCTATGAGTATTATTATTATTATTATATAATGATATTGAGCCAA